ATAATTTGAAAGGGGCTGTTTTTGTGTCCTCTTACGCTTAAAACCAATTTCACACTCTAATGTCCTAGCACTTGGAATACAACCATCTGGTGATACAGACGTGGGAGGTTAACCCTTTAGCGTAATTGAATTGAATTATGCTAATTCTATAGCATGTTAAATTTGATGTGATCACAAGGATATTATGCTACTACACTTTAATGATAGTGCATCTGGACACACTGCTTCAATAAAGAAGTCCATATCCAGGAATATAGAGAACTTTGAAGAACTACATTAAATGCTACACTTCCGAGTTTAGTACCCATCAGTAATGCTACAATAAATCATATACTGACTGGATCTATTTAGAGGCTGTTAGAAAACAAGGAAGAGCATGATGTATTTGCCCTTGGAAGCAAAGCTCTGACACATTGCTGTGCTTGCTCAAGAAATGAATGTAAAGAAAGTAAAATCATGTTCTATTCAATGAGTCAAGTTCAGGAGCCTTTTGTCCACAAAATCTCCTGACTTGGCACATGGCCTTTAAGGTAGAGTATTTATTGTGGTTATAACATTTGAAAACTCCCACACATCTGAGTAATTTCACAACCTTTTTGCATCCCACACAGGCTGTATATATATATATATATACACTGAATACACTGTACTTAGAAGGTGGGAGTTTTATGGTGTGCTACTCTGTTTTCAGGAAATCTTCCCAACAGATGACCCTTTCTGATAAATTATTTAACTAACTTTTACTACACTGTAGCTCACTGGCCTAGAAATAGACTTTAAGGCCAGAAGGTACCATAGTGATCAGCCTTCTAGTGTGACCTTCTGCACATTGCAGGCCATAAAACCTCACATACCCACTCCTCTAATAGTCCCATAACCTCTTGAGGACTTCAGTAACTGCCAATCTTGATTTAAAGACTTCAAGTTATGGAGAATCCAACATTTACTCTTGTTCAAACCAGCAAGTGACTCATGCTCCATGCTGCAGAGGAAGGTGGAAACCCCGGGGCCTCTGACAATATGACTGGGGGGAAATTCATTCCTGATCCCCAAATATGGCCATCAGTTAGACCCCCAAACATGTTGTCATGTTGTCCCAGACACCTGGGAAAGAATTCACTGTAGTAACTCAGAACTCTCCCCATCTAATGTCCCATCTCCAGCCACTGGGGATACTTGCTACTATCAGTCACAGATGGGCCACTTGCCATTGTAAGCAATCTCATACCATTCCCTCCATAAACTTATGCAGTTCCATTGTGAAACTAGTTAGATTTTTTTGCCCCCATGGCTCCCCATGGAAGGCTGTTCCAGAACTTCACTCCCCTGATGGTTAGAAACCTTCATTTAATTTCAAGCCTAAACTTGTTGATGGCCAGTTTATATCCATAGACTATCAGGGTTGGAAGGGACCTCAGGAGGTCATCTAGTCCAACCCCCTGCTCAAAGCAGGGCCAATCCCCAAATGGCCCCCTCAAGGATTGAACTCACAACGCTGGGTTTAGCAGGCCACTGGTCAAACCACTGAGCTATCCCTCCTCCCCAAAGCTCAGTGGTTTGAGCATTGGCCTGCTAAGCCCAGGGTTGTGAGTTCAATCCTTGAGGGGGCCATTTGGGGATTGGCCCTGCTTTGAGCAGGGGTTGGACTAGATGACCTCCTGAGGTCCCTTCCAACCCTGATATCCTATATACTCCAAGTTACCCTATACGTTTATATGCATGTGTGCCAACATTGGCGCTTAACTTAAACGCCAGGGAGGGAGAAGAGTTATTTATCCCTCTGATGTATTTATAGAGAGCAATCATATCTCCCCTCAGCCTTTGTTATGTTAGGCTAAACAAACCAAATTCCTTAAGTCTCCTCTCATAAGGTAGATTCTCCATTCCTCTGATCATCCTATTAGCCCTTCTCTGCACCTGTTCCAGTTTGAATCCATCTTTCTTGAACAAAGGAGACCAGAATTGCACACAATATTCCAGATGAAGTCTCCTGTATAGTGGTAATGACACTTTCTTATCTCTACTGGAAAGACCAGAACTGGGACCAAGATGTAAAGTTTGCTGTAATGTTCAATGTTGCTCTGATCCAGACCTCTGGTTCAGGACATCTCTCCTAATTACAATACATATCTTTATCAAACAAGGCACAATGACTTGTGTGTTTTCAGGAAAAAACTTAAGCCAGTTTTGAATTTGAGGGTATAGGGGAAGCAGTGGTACTCTCCCATGTTTTACTCGTGTTAGTCACCACAATATGATACTGCTCATGGGAGATTGCACAAATGTTTAAAATAGGATTGTTCCTGCTCTCTGAGCTTCTTCAGAGGGGTTTGAATATGCCCACTGGCTTTGCTAGGCTCATTCTGATTAAGGAACAAAAATAAGTAGTGGTATCTCCCAAACGCCACCCACCAATGGTGCTAAAAAATTAAATGTAGTTCACAGTAGATTGAGCAGTTCTGTGATCTCTCCTTCTCCTTTCTCACATGAGGAATGGAATAGTTAACAATGGTGACAATTAAACTCTCATTGGGCATCTGAGTTATGGCTTGCCTACATGGGGAAACAGACTGGAATAGATTTTAATTTGGAAGTGGATTAAGTTAAACCACAAAATAGCACCCTTAGTGCAGAATACCTCCTCATGGGGTTCAGAGTAGCAGGCGTGTTAGTCTGTATCCGCAAAAAGAACAGGAGTACTTGTGGCATCTTAGAGACTAACAAATTTGTTAGTCTCTAAGGTGCCACAAGTACTCCTGTTCCCCATGGGGTGTTAGCGTGCTTTAAAAGTCATACCCTAGCTAATTCTACAATGTCTCCTCCGTGTAGACAAACCCACACCGCTCATTGAAATGAAAGAGGTAGTTCACCCTCTGAGCTATTGTTCCAGGCTCTCTGCAGACTCGTGTAGCTATTTCTGCATTGGTTATATTCAGTTCACAGTGTTAAGGTTTTCTTTGCAGTCATAACAGCTAGAGAGTTACTTTTTCCCATTAAATCTGAGATTCTGAAGAACAAGAAAGTATCTTAAGAGAGGCATTGGTATGCTGTACTACCGCATACCAGCTTAATCTGAGCCATGATTTAAGTCAACTAATATTCTAGAGGTATCTGGATTCCAATATCCTCCTCCTCATCTTTTTCCTTTATGCCGCTTTTCCTGGTGAGGATCGCAGCAGCAGCAGCATGGAAAATAGGGAGGGCCAGACCTTCTTTTCCTCCACAACAGGTTCCAGCTCCACCTGGGGGATTCCCCAGCATTCCCAGGCCAGGTGGGAGATATAATCCCTCCAGCGTGTCCTGGGTCGGCCTCGGGGACTCCGCCCAGTGGAACATGCCCAGTAGAGTTCCAATGGAAGTTTCCATGGGCATCCTTATCAAGTGCCTGAACCAACTCAGCTGGCTCCTCTCGAGCCAGAGGACTAGGTTTTTTTCTTAAATAGTCACTTAACTTTTTTCTATCCAAAACTGTCTTATCTTAATAACTTTCAGAAGCTGCCTTAGCGCCCAGTCCTACAAACACTTTACTCATGTAAGGAATAGCATCAGTTGGTAAAGCTACTCAGGTTCAGAAGCATCTACAGACCTGAGCCTGTAGATAGCTTTGTACTAATTATTTGCCAATTAGTTTTGTTTGCAAATATGTGAAAGATGAAGGTCTTGTGACCTTTGATGCTTTCAGTTTTTGTTTTGTAAGCAACAATTTAGTTTTCACTTTGTTTTATCAGATTGTATCACCTACTGCTAAAAATTACTAATTAACTAAAAATGTTACTCATTTCAGCTTAATTTCAGTTTGTCCACCACATTTTCAAAATTAGTGAAGGTATAATACAGATAGTAAGCAGATCTCTCTGAAACATCATAACAAAATTGATTACACATTCCTATACCATTAAAGCCTTAAAAAAAACTTCAAATGAAACTGAAAGCACAAAACCAAAATTCCTGTTTTACAATGTACAGAGTTCACTACTGAGTCTACAGGGACTAGTGAATATGTAGTTAAATTTGGTGAAGGATTTAGCCTTGAGAGATACTTTTCCCGCGCAGGCAAATATGTTATATAACATCCCCAAGAAAGGATGAAGTGGCAAATTTAACACTGCCAAAAAGGCATTACTTTAAAACTGTCAATTGCAAATATGAATAAAGTTTTAAATATGCAATTCTAAAGACACTATTTTTGTAAAAGCCTTTTACATGTTTTTTGGTGAGGTTTAAATTGGTTTAACCCTTAATTTCTTTGTTTTTATTTGTGCTGTTTACACTATTAACATTATTTTAACATAACTTTCTATAGGGTATATGCTAGCCAGGAATGTAGCTGTTTGTAAACTGCACATCTGTTAGTCAGATTTAACACTGCAATCTGGAACTAGTGACATGTTACTTCATGTGGGAAGGATCTACTCAGTTCCCCATTTAAAAAGCACACTTCTCTGAAATATTTCTGCCTACGTAACACCCTGACTACTGTAGTTCAAAGAACTTAAAGAAAATCTCCTTTTCATTCAGCTGTTACTCTGTATTTAGTCAGTTTTGCTTGTATATTTAGGCCCCACTCCTGAAATCAGATCTGTGCAAGTGAACCTCTGGTGCTGAAGTGGGCTGTAGTCCACGAAAGCTTATGCTCTAATAAATTTGTTAGTCTCTAAGGTGCCACAAGTACTCCTGTTCTTTCTGGTGCTGATGTAGAGTTCTGAAGTCCTGGATTAGAGACAAGGAAAACGAGAGAGATCCCAGTTTTAAATGGGTCAGCGTCAGCAATAACCTCAATGATCTGACCAACATTTTCCTGAGTAAAAGAGGTCTTGGTAAGGCTAGGTGTGTACTACTGCTGAGGACACAATTTGCCTACAAAGTCAACATGTTACCTAACTGGTAGCTCTGGAAAGCACTTTGGGATACCCAGAATATGATGGGTGCAATAGAAAACCCAATTTTACTCTGTTCTCTCATTCACTACACTATTGTTTTTCTCAGGAAATGAGACTAACCTTTATGGATTTCACAGCAGTCCCTGTGTAATGTTCTAGCCACCGATCCTTCCATTATTCCATGGGACATCAGCACCTGCAGGAACCGTCGATGACCATCAGTCATCTGGGTAGCCATTGAAATGTTACACTAGGTTTAGAAAGCTGCAGAAGGAATAAACTGGAATTAGATGCACACATTCAAGCAAAATATTTATCTATACGCACATTTGTAAATACCTTCTATCAAATCAATCCAGATCGGATACTGAAGAAAGAAAAATAAGTTCCCAACAGCACAAATTACTTTGATCTTTATATAAGATTCCAAATGAGATTTCAATTTCACAGGTACCTTTAGGAATTCCACATATAACTTTAGTTAGTTTTAATCCTATCCCCCCTTCCTGGAAAAAGTGAACATACCAGTGAGAGAAGAAATTATATTAAGGCAAACAAGCATATTCATGAAGTTTTAGCTCAGAATGCACATAGGGCTTAATGTCGATGCTCTAGAGCAGTGGTTCTCAAACTTTTGTACTGGTGACCCCTTTTACATAGCAATCCTCTGTGTGCGACCCCCCCCCCTTATAAATTAAAAACACTTTTTTATATATTTAACACCATTATAAATGCTGGAGGCAAAGCGGGGTTTGGAGTGGAGGCTGACTAGGGTGACCAGACGTCCCGATTTTATCGGGACTGTCCCGATATTTCCTTGTTTGTCCCGCGTCCCGACCGACGTGCGGTCAGGACACTGGACAAACAAGGAAATGCGCCGGAGCCTGGAGCCCGGAAGTGCTCGCGCCCCCCCCCTCCCCCCGACCCCGACCCCTCCTCCCCCGATTGGCTCCCTCCCCGAATCCCCGCCTCTTCCCCGGGCTCACCATTCCTTCCCCCTCCGCAAGCGCTGGAGGGAGGCCCGGGAGACTCAGGGGAAGCGCGGGGCCGGGGTGAGTAAGAGTCCGGCCTGGTCCCCAGCAGGCAGGACTCAGTTGGGCGGTAGGGAGAGGAGGGGGGCGGCCCGCGGGGCCAGGCGGCTGTTGTTCTCCCCCCCGGGCAGCGGGACTCGGGAGCAGCCGCTGCTGCAGCTCCCACTGCTGCGGGGGGAGGAAGCGGCCATGGCGCTTGGTGGCTGCGGCTCTGGCGCCCCCGAACCCCCCGGGCCTGCTGCA